GCTCCATGTCCTTCTTGTGTTGGGGACATACCAGTTTCTCCGAGACCAGCTCGTTTGGAAACCCTGAGAGCCACGGTGGCCACCGAGCCCACCCTGGCACCAGCGAGACAGAGAACTGGCACTGAATCACCGGGACTAGCAACCACGGAGCGCGTGTTTCGCGGAACTCGCCCACCAGTGCAACGGCTGTGCGGCTGTTTGACACCACCAGTGTGCACTGCCGCCCCGTTCCAACCCCTCAGCCCAGTTCTGGAGCCACTGGCACCATCCTCCCTCGAGGGAAAGGCTGGATGGGCGGGGGGGTTCGTCTACAGCCGGCAAAATGCAGAAATGGCTTCCCTCTGCGCCGGGCAAACCCACCTGCGTCCCAGAACCAGGGATTTCCAGACTGATGCTCTAGAGACACCCGGGGATTTGCAGCTGGTGCAGTTTGACCAAAAACCACGGCGGAATTAAGACCTGGAACATCCTTATGTCCCGAAAGACAGTTCCAGTCAGGGAAAAAACAATCCCAACTGAACAAACGTGCCAAATTCTCTGGCCTCAAGTCATCCTCTATAAATTAAAACCGAGAAGACGAGTCTTCCTGGGCTTTCCAGCAAGTGGCTGGCTGAAACTGGTTTGGCTAAGGGCAAAGGAGGAAAACTGGCACGCGGTTGCGCCGCTCGGCTCGCCACGACTCACCTCCACCTCTCCTCCGGCGACAGGCGCGACAGGTCGACCTGAGGAGACAAAAAAAGCCACCATGGAAATGAGCTGGTGAAGGCTGGGAGCACCAGCCCTGGATGGACAACTTGCCCCCTCCACCTCCCCAAGGAGTGCAGGTGCTGGCCGTGCCCCACGCGAGCGTGGTGAGGCTGTGCTGTGCCCACCGCGGGCAACACCGACGCGGCACCCGGCTCCTTCCACCTCCCGGTGAGGCTCCATCAGCGCCCACGGCAAAGCCACCCGGTGAGACCCCCCACAATGGTGAAGGAAAATCTGGGATTCAGAAGCTTTAAATGACAAATCCTCCATGTGCCCGTCATGATGCCACTGCCCAGCGCTGTCCTTCGACCCCCTGGGCAGTGCCACCAAGCCCCCCTGCTCCTCCATCCCCTTTCCCAGTATGCTCCCATGCTTTACCATGGCTCTGCCCGCCATCCCGCGCTACGTCTGCCAGAGGAGTCGCCTGAAGCGCCACGTTCACCACCCAGCCGGGCAGCTGTGGGCACAACAGGGTGACTCCAGCTCACGTCGGAAGCGGGACGGAGAAGGGGGCCCCACATCCCACCAGTCTG